TCAGCCATCGCATCGCGAACGAGTCGCAGGACACTCAGTCTGGTAGACAGGAAGTCATTGACTTGTATACAGACAGTGAAGTGGATGAAATCAGCTTGCCGCTCGGCTATTCCTACCCTATTAAGCCTTGAGCCATGGGATGGTGGCGTCAGCGGGACGCGAGGATGAACGATCCCGTTCACATAGAACGGCGTGTAGCCGGTAGAAGTATGCACTGCGTTGTTCAGAGCAATCGTCACAAGTGGCAGCATGGCGCTCCAGCGCTTCGACGTGTCAGCGCAGAAACTGTGAAGAAAATCTTCAACAACGCGATTCAAGCGCTTAGTCTGACCATCGGTCTGCGGGTGGGCTGCCGTTGACATAGTCAACTTTGTGCCTAGTATCCTGAAGATTGTCGATCAAAACTTCCCAGTGAATCGTGGGTGTCTGTCAGAGACAGTTGAATTTGGAAGTCCAAGTTGTTGGAATATACAATCCACAAACACTGTCGCTGTACCCACACCGTCAATGGTGTCCGGCACTACCGCAAGATGGCAATCTTGCTAATCGGCCCACAAAGACCACCGTGTTGCCGGCCGAATCCTTAGGCAGGCCAAACACAAAGTCCAAACTTATGGAGGGTACCGGTAAATGGGCAGCGGTGCCGCCGCATTCGGAGAGGTATTCACCCTTTGACACGTCTCACATGTGCGCACATATGTACTCGTCCACTTGCACAGCTTGGGCCACCAGTAGTGGCTACTCACAGAGCTGTATGTCTTTTCACGTTCAAGATGACCACTGAGTGGGGTGTCGTGTGCTCATAGACGATACGGTACTTCAAATCCACGTCGTGGGGAACCACAATTCGTGGCGAACCGCCGAATTGGTGATATAATACAGCAACCCGTTATTCAGCAAATATCAGTGTAATCGTGCGCACAAACGCGCCAACAATTTCTTGTCCGAGTTTCCAAGCTCCTTGCTCCCGACAGCCTGTAACAGCGCTACACACATACCATCACTCGCGTATGCTGCGCGGAACAAAAATGTCACTGACGACGTCACCGTCTTGACATGAGTAAGCTCATAATCTGGTCTGCGTGATAACACATCAGCCAAAGCATTCTGCTTTTCCGGCTTATACTTCACCTTGAAGTTATACTCTGCAAAGAATGAGAGCCACCTGGCCATCCTTTGCGAGAGCTGAGGCGAGTGAGTCGCAGTGCCTAGTGACGTATGATCGGTGTAGATTACAAGTGGCTTTTGAGCCAAGCAGGCGCATATTGAACTTGACAAGCTTATACTCATCGCAAGCAATTCCTTGACGTGAACTGGTAGTTCCTCTCCGCAGCCTTAAGCTGGCGAGATTCGAACTCGATCACTCCATCTCGCCCCTCGGTGTCTTCTTGCAGCAATGCACAGCCGATGGCAAAGTCCGAAGTGTCACAGACGAATATAAACGGACTCTTAGGTTCTGTCAACACCAGCACTGCTGCGTGGGGAAGGCTGTCTTTGGCCCTGTCAAAAGCCTCCCGATACTCGGTGTCTCAACACCATTCCGCATCTTTCCTAAGGAGATTTGACGATGGCCGCGCCATTTCGCATATTACGCACTATACTTGTACTTGGAGAGGCCAAGCCACTTGCGCAAGTCTTTTTGGTTCTTTGGAACTGGCCAGTCCGCAATGGCCTTGACCTTAGCGGAATTTGCTCAAAGGCCACGCTTTCCAATGAAGCACCCTAGAAAGAGGATTGCTTTAGCACCAAAGATGCACTTTTTTGCATTAGCATACAGCTTATTCGGTTTCATGCACTCAAAAACCGCTCTCAAAAGAATGATGTGGTTTTTCTCATCTGTCCTCCCGTGCCCCGCACGACTGTGGACGAAGATGTCGTCGAAGTATGTTGGTGTATACGGTCGGTGGGGCCTAAACAACTGCGTCACAAGACGATCAAATGTTGCTGGTGCGTTTAACAGCCCTTGTAGTATTATCAGCAACTCCCAGAGCATCCCGCTCGGAGAACCGACCGCTGTCAGCAAAATATTACTCGCCATCGTGAGCAACTGGTAATAACCATCGACCAAGTCGGGTGCACTGTACTTTGTACAGCCACCCAATATTGTCCTGGAGAACATACTTCCAAGGAATCGGCGTCTGTGCCGGAATGGTGGCAGTGTTTAGCTTGTTGTAAGCGTAAACGATAAGCCACTTGCCGTTCGGCTTTCGGACACAAAACATGGGTGTCGAATGGGAAGACTTGCTCTCATGCACCATTCCTGCGTCGTGCTTCGCACGGAAAAAGGCGTCATTGACGTCACACTGCTCCTTGGGCAAGGGCCATCGGCGTGTGACGCAGTATTTTGTTCCCAAACCTAGTCGATCTCATTACGCACACCTCGGTCCGGGCATAAGACCGACAGCGGGTCTTTGGAGACAACATATTGAAATTTCTCTACTAAAGGATAGTACAGATCCGAGGATCAACGACCCACTTCGTGCGGTCAGCACCCTCTTGGTGTCCTCCAGGACAGCTTCATCTAAAAGCTACGACGAGTTAAATTCCGTGTTCGGTCGTATTTCTGACCCCCTCGGCTTATCCGCCTGCCTTCAAGGCACCGCCAAACTCTTCGAACGACATCTCGTCCAGCTTAAGAGGAGCATCTACCGCGGAAATAGCCTTCAGTGTGACGTCGCCGTCTTCCTTTCCCGTCATACCGTTGACAAGGGTGTATAGCTGTGTGCTATCGTCTACGGTAGACACATCCTGATCAGGGTTGATGCTCTGCGTCTTGCGAATAGCATGCGGCATCTCCGTCTTTTCTCTATAGAGACGTCTCATCGAGACCAGTGCGAACACGCATTTAGCATCGTCCAGTTTTTCCACTCCCTGCCCTATCGAAACCTTAATGATATTTACAACATCCGACGAAGAGTTACTATTTCCGCAGTCTTCGTCCAGTGGATACCGCGTCACCTCACGCGAATTAGAAGGGCCTTGCCCAAGATGCCTCGGACCTCGTCCGCCATGCCACTCTTGGCATGCACCAATTGCTTCGTAACGTGAGCAGTGCTTAGTAGTTTTCGTGTCAATCCACGGATCAGCCCACGAACCGGTGCTCGACAACTCGGATACTCCGATATCCAGCACATCGACCAACTCGGTCCAGTGCTCGCGCCAATAGCGCTTCTGCGTTCTAGCAGAGGTGGGTTCATGACTCACCAAAATCCCACCAAGAGACGTGCGCGTAGCACTCAAGGTCTTCGACCTCGAATCAATCCATGGATTATGGTGTTCCAACCATGCCATACCAAAGATAGGGTCATACCCTGCATCAAAGTCTTAAGCAGCGTTCCACGCTATCGGAGTCAAGAATTTTGACATCGAGGTCCACAGGGATCCCGGCACAGTGACACAAATCCCGTCGCTAAAAGCGAACAGTGACGGTGTCACTCAACCACGCTTTCAGCGCCTCTGCATACAGCTGACTTCCTTCGATCGTGAAGCGTCGAGCATAATTGCTTGACGCCCCGGAATCGATAAGGATATTCCATGGCTTCTCAAAGCCTTTCACGAGCAAGGAGCTCTTCGGGCTGGGCCCTGTTGCCCTCTACAGTAGGACGCCCACGCCTACTGAGGGTTGTCGTTCTCCGCGACTAACCAGACTGGTAAGAAGCGGGACGTCGGCTCGATGAACATTGACGCGCCTTGCGCAGGGGACAACCCGTCCGAAGGTGACGGATGTCTCCACATACAAAACACCGTCGGATGTACGAACGCTGCCCGGCAGCTCGGAGTGCTTCCCCCTCTTTTTAGCTTAATTGAGATTCATTGGCTTAGACCCACCCGACGAGATCTGAGGGTGTGCAATCTTACCAAGTCGAGCCGAATTAAACTGAATGTGGCATTCAATGCCACATTCACCGCTTCTTCAAAAGAAGACGGATACACACGGAAGAATTCCATTCTGGCCACTCTAGTGGAGAGGCCGTCCTCAAAGACGATAACTGTGACCGCGTCGAGGAGAGGATCGGCTGCCATCCCGA